TCACACGTAACATCAGCTTTCCAGATACCACATACCACTTTTTCAAAGTGCTCTGACAAAATTAAAACACGTGAAGCTGGCAGCTCCCACTACATTGCTGTGACCAAGAAGGGTAAAGGAATAACATTACTACTTGTTATTGGGAAATCCCTATATACATTGACCTCCCTCCTCAACGGACAGGCAAACCTGCAAAAATGCTTAACCCTTTCTCGCATTCGAAAAGGCACCCTCAACATAACCTCTCGAAATACTCAGCTTTATTTCCCCCCGATAATACCTCAGCAAATAAGCCACACCAAGAACAAGAGTATCTCATATCATCAGGGTCGAAAGCAAGAGTATCCCATATCATGCTTTCTCCCTATCTTTGTCTTTGTCCTTGTCCACACCTGCAGGACAAGGAGAAAGAGAGCAGTCAGTCGGAACCTGAAATCAAACCTCCAATTTGGAACTGACTGCCTGGAGCCTTTGCCTGGTTGCTTACTTAGCATTGCTCTCGAGTACTCATCCTCAACTGCTGTCAAGGTCACGAATTCCACCGGCAAATACCTCATGACAGTTGATCAGATATTGGCTCTTTACACTGAAGCTGCCAAGCGTGGATGAGTCACTATGAAGGAATGTTCTGAATGACCATTTAAATGCAAAGGTTGCACACCACTTCTGCCATGCAAAAGATTGAAGCAGAAGGTTCAACGGTGAGCTGAAACAGATCACTACAGCATGACACCTTTCCATACCACATTCATTATTCCGTCAACAGCAAAAGTATCCCATATCATCAAGGTCGAACGTACTCTAGATTTGATGGACTTGTTTTTGACCCTCAAATTTTTGAGTCGGCCTTATACTCTGAAGGGCACCAGAAAACCCTCCAGCACAGTTCAAGAATAAGCCTGTGGAAAGTTACTTCTTCAAAAGCAAAAGTATCTCATATCATCTCTTATCCATTTGCTTCTCCTTATCCTGGCAGTTGAATGAGAGACAAGGAGAATGAGAACAATCAACCGGAAGCCGAAGTCAAACTTCTGATCCTGGGTTGCTTACTTGGAAGTTTGACTGCTTACCTTGTCTGTCACCTCTTTCGGCAGATCTCCTAGCTCGGCGACTTGGGGGACTCCTACTATAGGGTTTGTATCACACTTGACTAAGCCCGAAACTACAACTAAGCTTCAAGTGAAATTGATACATTACCTTGTGCGTCAACATCAGCTAAATACACCATTCCCGGATGGAGGAAAAGTACTTCCAGAGAAGGGCAGATGAAGATCAGACCACACTTCGGTACTTAGAAGTTTCGTGATTACTCAAGGGATTGGATCTTGCAAGTCCCCAACCGAGGAGTTTCCCTCACTCGGGAACTTAGGGGAGCACTGTTTGTACCATACTTGACCAATCCCGAAACTACCGAGCACCGGCCAACGCTATACTGTCAAGGACCCAGAAGAGTTCCCCTCCGACCAGGAGGCCAATCACTACTCGACACGTGTCAAGATTAGAAGCCAATCAGAGCGCAACACGTGTCAACATCAAGAACCAATCATAACATGACACATGTCAATGTGACAAAGCTACAAGTTTTTCTATAAATAGGGGTCATTCCCCCACAATATGGCCTAATGCCATTTTGTGTTAAATCATTCACAAGAACTCACTAAATTGAGAGCTTGATCCTTTGTACTTGTGTAAGCCCTTCACTACTAATAAGAACTCCTCTACTCCGTGGACGTAGCCAATCTGGGTGAACCACGTACATCCTGTGTTTGCTTCTCTGTCTCTATTCATTTACGTACTTATCCTCACTAGTGACTGAAGCAACCAAGCAACCAAGCGAAGGTCACAAAACCTGAGACTTTCTGTTGTACCAAAGTCTTCGCTGATTTTGTGCATCAACAAGTATTTTTTTAATACGACTGTCACACTATAATGTGATGTTATTAATTCATTTATAGTATATCACGATTCACGTATATATATTATTTACTAGAGGATGCTTGTAGCTATCCCAAAGTCCACTTTGATACCCGCTTAGTTGTGATATTTAAATGACGATTAAGAATATGGATGATTCACGTGAAAATTCAATATTGTTGACACATTATTTTCATAAGAAAATTGCTTTGCCTTTATTACTGAAACAGAAACCAGACTGAGAAAACAGAGAAAGCTTGCCAAGACATGCCTCATGCATGTTGCTTCTTCCAATTCTCAATGAGCTGGTTGAACATTTATTTATAATCGAGAATAATAAAAGTACATGATAACTCTCACTATTTTCTCCATATTCTTCTTCCTATTTTTTCTCTCTTCCTTTCTCTTTCTCTCTGCCGTCTGTTGTGTCCTCCTTCCCATTTCTTTTATAAACACAATTTGGGAATGAAGCCAAAAGATGGTGCTTGCTGCCAGCCAAGATGTGCTGCTCCCACTCAAAATTCCCATGTGCGAAAACGCAGGTTTGTGACCTGCATGGGCGATCCATATTTTATAAAGAAATATAATGAAAATGATTTGAAAACTTTGAGTTTTAATGATAAAGACAAAAAATAAAGAGTAAAATGAATAGTATCAGAATTAACTTTTTAATATAAAAATGTAGTTTTTCGTTAAAATGAACCGTAATGAGAACTTTTCATTAAAATTCCCTATTTTATAACATGATACATTATTGAGAAATTATTGACATTATTATGTGGTCTTCCTGGATGTGAGATATTAGTTTCACTCGGTAGCGATGTAAGCAAGTTTTTCTGAGGCCCCATGTAACTTACGAATTGAAGCATATAATTGACTATTGCTACCATCAAACCAAATATTGTAAAAAAACTAACACGTTTATGGGTTGCTCACGTATTATAATCAATGTTAAATATCGGTATTGTGGAGCAAAAAATAATCAAGAAAAATATGAAGGTGACACGTGGATTCTTGAGTTAAAAAGACAAAATTATCCTCGAGGCGCACCGAAACTCCCACACGCGAGCAGCGGACAATCATAACTCAATCAAAGTCAAAAGTAATCAAAATAGGTATTTATTCAAAACATATTTCATCAATCCTCATCAAATCATCCACACAAGGTAACCTCCAAAATATTTATTCAAAATATGATTAATTACCTAAATTAATTGATTAATTTTCTAATTAATTAATTAATTTTCTAATTGATTGCAAGATATTATTTTGACATAATATCTTGCAATTACACCCAAAAACCACCAAATGTGGCCGGTTCCCATCTATCTCAAAAGGGGCCGGCCACACCCCTATAAAAAAAAAAAATTTGGACAAACAAAGTAAAATTCATTAAAGAGAAAGCTAATACAAGGTAAGGAAAACTCCAAAAGAGAGTCCAAAAAAGCCAAGCAAAAGCCTAACACCATAAACGAAAATTACAATGAGAAGGGCCCAAAGTGAGCAGCCTATAACAGCAACCAAATCAAAAACCATAGACAGCCACCTCCACCAACACAACCGCATCGCCACCGCGGATCTGTCACCACCACCCGGAAAAAGGGCCAAAGAACTAAAATGATGAACAGAAAATGGGGGTAGGCAAGCTCCTCGTGTTGGAAGCGCTCCCATAATCCTACAAAATAGTGCAAAAAACACTTTAAATTATGCGAAGTAGCAAGGGTAGATGGTAGGAGATTCACGGTGAGGAACGATGATTGGAGAGGAACAAGGCAAAGAAAATAGATCTGAGATAAACTCAGGGAATACTGAGACCAAACTCAGAGCAACCTGAGACACAAAATGCTCAAACAGAAAGTAAACGAAAGCTAAAAGCATAAATAGATAAACTAAATCTCCAACCATGGTGGCTTGGAGAGGTGGAGCTAGAAGAGAAAGGGGAGATGGGGAAATCGGGAGGACAGAGAGGGAAAGATAGGGAGAAAGAAAGGAAACAAGGGTGAAGAAAAATGAAGAAGAAGAAGGGCGAAAAACAGGAAGGGATAGACGAAAAAGATGAAAATATAGGGTGGACGGGCGAGGAAGATAGAGGAGGACGAGGAGGGGAGGGCTAGGCTGCTGCCGACCTCAAGCCGGAGCAAAGAGGCCGACGGTAACGGAGGTTTCAGAGGTTAGGCGCTTTACTTTGGGGGAAGGAGATGGCACAGAGTCATAGGTAGGGGCACTATGAATACCTCATTTCTCCAAAAACCTAAGTCCAACTCTCTTGCTAAATTCTCCAAATTTCTCTAAACACTTTTCCCTCAAATTCTAACTTTGGCATTGGAGTTTCTTCGGCCAAAGCTCCCTCCCCCCATTCATCGTGAGCGCATGAGGTTCTTAGCCTTGACCTAAGGTGTTAATTGTTTTGTAGGTGAAGAAGAAGGTGGAAATTTGCATCTACATGTATTAGTAGAATTATCGATATTTAAATTTGTGAAATGTCGACGAATATATCGATATCGGCTGTTTTCAATGAAAATTATGACAATTTGTTCAAAAACATGAAAATTTAAATAAAACTTTAGAGAATGTCAAACACTGGTTTAAACAAAATATAAAAGTTTTTCCGATATTACCTGATATGTCAAAAATATCGAGGAAATCTATCGATTTTAGCTAAAATTTAAGAATTTCTTTAATAATGGATTAAGTTTCCATATTTGTCTCTGATTTTTTCTGATATTTTCACAAAGATATTAACCCTATTGAAAAAATCTCAAACAGTGGTTATGAATGGACAACAAAGTAAAACATTGTGCATAACATCTTCCACACTATTTTCTCACCATTTTAGAGTCATAGACTTGTTACATACTAAATGGTCACACACAAATTTGGCTACGCTTTTATTACCAAAACTAGAGAAACACACAAAAACATAAAAAAGTCTGCCAACCAGCTGCAAGCCTGCAACATTTGGATTCAACTCAAACCGGCCATACATGCATAAATTCAACTTCAATCACTAAACCTCCTTCTTCCTCCACTCCTCAACGAGTCTCTTCAGCGTCTCCTCCCTTGCACCACCGGCTCTGGCAGCTTTCTTAGCCGCTTCTCCGATCCTCGCAGCCATCACTGTCCATCAATTCCTTAATCTTCACAGCAATCTCATCTCCCTTAACCAACTTCTTCTCACGGTCGCCACTCCAAAGCCATGATTTCTCCCAAATTCCGAGCCCACATATCTCAGCCACCTCCGCAACCACATTTTGGTCCCCGTTCTGCGGCCATGCAAGGTCCCTAACGCCGTGCCACGCCGCCTCAACCACCGAGTTCCACCCGCTGTGGCTCAAAAACCCGCCCACTGCTCTATGCCCCAAGATTTCCCCTTGCTCCGCCCACCTTCTCACCACCAGCCCCCTCCCCTCTATTCTTACCAAATTACCCTCTCCTCCTTCCTCTTCACTGTCAACCATCTTCTCCTTCACCACACACAAGAACCTGAACCTGCTTTTCTCCAAGCCATCTCCCACCTCTCTGATGTGCTCACTTGACAGAGCTGTCTTGCTTCCGAAGGCCACATACACCACCGACCCATCAGGCTGTTCATTAAGCCACTCAAACGGTTGCGGTTGCCCTGGATCACCGCCGCATTGATCACCATCCCCATGTGCAGGCAGCTTCTCAAATTCGCAGGGTACGAAAGGCCCGACAGAGAAAACTGGAGGCGACCCGCCGCTGATCGCCTCCGGCCCCTCTGCTTCCAGCGCTTCAAACGTGAAAATCAGAACTCCAGCTAGTTTCTGGAGATTCGGACCGTCCTCTATGAAGATATTGGAAAAGAGGCTGTTGGGAACGCAGAGCAATGGAGGAATCGTTGATTTGCGTAATGGCGGATTAATGCCGGGGATGGGAAGAACATCGTCATCGTTGAGTTGGGCTATGGAGGAAGCAAATTTGTGAAAAGAGATGACAAGAGAGAGTACATTCTGGTGTTGGAGGGGATGATGGTGTAGGCAGGAAGATGATAAGGGAGGGTTTGGATGACGGGGAGGACGGGGGAGAGTAAACTGATGTCGTAGATGAGGGCGGAGGCAGGAGGAGAGAGAGTGGAAAGCAAAGGAGTTAGGAGGTGAGCGGAGCAGCGGATGACTTCAAACTGGATCCAAAACGGGTCGGTGGAATTCACGGTGGAAGGGTGTATAGAAAAAGGATGGAACTGGAGGTGAGTAACTCGGTCGTGGTAAGCTGAGAGGAAGCGGGAGATGAGAGCTGACTCGGCGAGGGAGACGGTGGGGTGGGCGGTGATGAGGGTGAGCCTCAGTGGGCAGTAGTTCTGGGCAAGTAATAAGGCGGCAAGTCGTAGCATGGGTGTCAAGTGCCCCATCTGGGAGCTGGGTAAAAGAACGACATGAGTTTCGGGGGTTTGGAGAAGGCTGCCGGAGTCTGCTGCCATCTTGGGAGGGAGGTGGTGGCGATGGTGGTCGTTAAAACAGAGAGCTTTGAGTGTGGAGAGGCCACCTTGTGAAGCACTGAAGCTTGCATTAAATCATGACTGAATTGAGAAAAATGCCAAAGGGTATCACACCGTAGAGGTCAATTTTGTGGGGTCAAAATTGTGAAATTAGCATTAAATTATACGGAGAGACCAAATTTTTGCAAAACCAAATTATTTGTCACGAATAGAATATAAGACCGAATTTTTAAATTAAATTTTGTAAATCAAATAATGTGATTGCTGATAATTAGATTATTATTTAAGTGTTGATTAACGAACTTATTTTTTATTTATAACACATCATTTAATTTACAAATTTAGTCTTCTTAATATTATCCTTACAAATTCAGTATCTATAACATTATCCTTTTTGGATGCATTAACCTCCTTAACTATTTAAAATCAGCCAATTAACCCTTACCATGAGATTTGAAGAAATTCATCTACTTTGCCGTCGAATTTGAGGATAAATTCGTCTTCTTAATCTCAAATCCAACGGCAAAGCAAATTAACTTTTTCAAATCTAAAATTGAGAGATAATTGGTGTGTCACCAATCGGATATAAGACCAAATTTTTTAAACTAAATTTTGTAAACCAAATGATGTGGTTGGTGAAAAGAGGAAACAGAAAGGGATGGTGATAAGACAGGGCCGACATAGGCCCAGTGCGGGCACGGCGACCGTCCAGGGCCCAAAAAAATTAGGGGCTCCAAAATTATTAGTGTGGCATATTTATATACGTTTTCATAAGAGTATAAATTTATAAAATTTGGTTCAACGACAAAGAAATTTAATTAGAACCAGTAATTTTGTGTTTGAAATTAATGAGGATGTCTTGGGTTCAAAACACCATGTGTGCTTATTTAAATTTCAATTTTTACAAATTTCTTTTCATAACAATATAAATTTATAAAATTTGACTAATTGATTAGAAGTTTAATTAGAAGCAAAGATTTTTGTATTTAAAATTAATGAGAGGTCATAAGTTCGAAATGCTATGTGCATGCTTTTTTTTCAATTTTTACAAATTTTTGTTTGGTTATTAATTTATCTTTAATTACTAGCTAGTAACTATGTAGGTTGTTATTTTTAAACATTAGTTCCAATTCAAGTCTAATCTTCAACAAAGGGTAATGCGTAAACTAAATTTTTAGACCAAATTTGCAAATCATATGACGTGTCATCCAAAGGTTAATTTGGTGCCTTTTCATTACTTATACATATCCTTAAAGACTCGAAAATATCATTATTTTTTTTATTCTTATATTGACGAGGTTAGTAAATAAGAAAAAACACCTCATGATTTATACAAAAAACTTTAAAAGTTCATATGGAAGACAAAACTCATAATCCATCTACTTGTAAGTCTGAAGTTTTTTGGTTTCCTTCTTTCAATACAAAATAAATAAGTTTTTCTGTATTTCTAAATTACTGAGTTTGAAGTACTTTTCTAAATATAATTTTATCAATGTCTTACGTGTAAAAACAAATAATTTTTTTATATGAAGTGAGGGCACATTTTTTCGCTTTGCCCCAGACCTCAAAAATCTCTGGACCGGAGAGATAATCCTAATCAAATTTTCTTTGTTAAAAAAAAAAAGAGAGGTAATAAATTGATTTAAATATTTTAGGGAGTTAATTTACCAAAAAATAGATCATTCAAATTTTCATTTTTTTCTGAGAGTAGGTCAACATGTGGGAGGAGTACTGAAATAGTGAAACCGAAATTGTCGATAGCCTGCAAGAAATCCTTTGGTTAAACAGCACGCAAAATTCCTATTTCCTCTTTGTTTCTGAGTGGCTATTTAAACATCACTCGTGCAGTTTGCTTCCACAAAAAACAAAGCAAATCGAGAAAATCATCCTTCAATCATGGCCTTAGCAGCGTCGATCAAAAGTGGTCTAAATTCTTTAGAAGCTCGACCAAGCACCGTGTATCCTTCCTTGTCTTCCACGTCCACGTCCGCTCCGTGCCTTATTAGAAGGAGACAAACCTGCCATCGACACAAATGATTGGAGATCTCAGAAAAACTATGAATTATGCCTTCTGTTTGACAAAATTAGATGTTAATACAAACTTCTTCCCATGTCAACTTGGTATTAAATTGATGACTGAGAAGTGCACCGTTAACACGTACCAATGACGAAACTAATGAAAATAACTTCAAAATGTTGAATCTTAATCAAAACGTCTAATAACTTTATTGAACAAAATATAATAAAATATTAACCAAAACACAAATTAGACTCTCTCCTTTCTTTCTCTCTCCTTGTTTCCTCTTCACCCATGCCCCATCCGTTTCTCTCTCTCTCTTCCCTGGGGAGAAATTTTTAATTGTGACGGGAACATGGATGGTACATCATGTGTTTTTATGCAAGTAGTGAAAAATTATATTTTTTAAGTCATTAACATTTTAACATTCATATCTCACTATTTATGTAATGACACGTGGTATATCATCCTGTATGATAATTCCACTATTTATGTAATGACACATATCCCACTATGGAGTGATGGGGAGAAAAAATGAGGGAGAGGGATGTGGCAAGATGCACGGGAATGCGTGTAAGTTTTTTAATATTAATTTTTTTTATCATTTCATTAAATTTCAAGTTATTTTTATTAATTTTCAGTCTTTTTCAATCAATAAAGTTATTAGATGATTTTTTTGTTCACAAACAAATTTGGTGAAGCTTTTTTCAATAAACCTCCCTAAATTATATATAACCTAAACCTATACAACAATATGGTTCAAACCAAGAGGGAAACAATATATGCAGGTCATAATAACTATTGCAACCTCTGCAGAATTTCTCATCATTTTCTCTACAGCATCAACACACTGACCATTGTTCTATCCTTCGCATTACTTAACCCGAAGGCAGAAATCACTGAGCATAACAGTTAATTTACTTCCCGTTTACAACGGGCCTATTTGTCTAGCAATAACAAAAACAGAGATGTAAAAGAATGCCACGAAATTGGAAGAAGAAATTAAACACCACAGGCAACATGCATTATATATCACACGCCATCAAGCTAGAGTGAACAGGTTAAGCACTCATTCAACGGGCTCTAAAAAGCCAGGATCAAGGTCAGTGTTTAAAATCAATTGGAGAAACACCAAAGATCTTCAAGCCCTTCTTCACAATAGTTGCCATTAGGCAGAAGCATTATATGATATGGAGCTGTCAAGCCGTTAAGATAGTAATTTAAGGCGCATATTACAGTCAAGTCCATATTAGTCAAACAAAGACAGAACGAAACACAGTAAATTGCAACCAAGCATGCATTTCCTAAGACTAATCTCTTTATAACCTTTATTTCATTGCTCTAATCCGAATCAGAAATGCTCAATCCCAACTGGCGTATTAAAACGAGAGTGTAGAGAGTAGACTCAAAAGGGGCAATAAAAGTGGCATTCATGGTGTAATTCTTGACCAACCAAACAAATATCTCCATGTGTTCGGCAAAAATAAGAATCTCTTTCTCAGAGTCACCGAAACATACCTCTTTGTTATCGCAAATCACCGCACCCATAAGAGGAGTCTGACCAGCTCTATCAATAGCATCAACCTCTGCCCCTTCCTCAATTAAAAGCTCACACAGTTGTGATTTTGCAGTGCTAGCTGCCCGGTGCAATGGGGTGCAACCAACCTGAGCACAATGCATACCATATGTTCACAATTTAGCAATTACAAATAAACTAAACACTCCATCAGTGCACGATGTTCATTAAACTGGATACATACTTAAATTAAAGGTTCCCATTCCCTAGATAAAACACCATTATGTTAAGTTACAAACCTTGTCCTTCAGATTAACCTTTGCCCCATGGGAGATCAAACTCTGAGCAACCTCAAACCATCCCTTACTGGCAGCATAATGAAGGGCAGATCGACCGCCATTGTTTTTTAAATTAACATCAGCTCCTGTTAAGAACCACAAAATCAGAAGATTGAAATAGCACAATCAGCCATGTTCAAGTAACTATCATTGTTTTTCACACGATATTCTACTTTAAACTCAATAATACTTTAAACCCAATTAAACAGCGAGAAGGGGGATTTGAAACTTGGGTGCATAGAGAAGCACATCCGCTCTAGCCAACGTGACTACGCCCACCACATGTACTACATTGCCTAGTTAACGGTGATACAAACAACATGAAGCAGATAGCAATGAAATCTGACAAATTTACCTTTGCTTAGCAACAGCTCAACTATTTCTGAATTCCCAATGCTGGCCGCAGAATGAAGCGGCGCCCATCCATCTTCATCCGTGCTGTTTATCACACTCGTTGATTCATCAGCATCAATCAGCAGCTTCATCACCTTTGTAGCGAAGAGCATTCACAATTACAATTGAAGCTAAATGAGAACGAATTCAAAGTACCGATATTCAATTGAAACAGAAACCAAATAGAAAGCAGAGGGCACCCTCAAATTTTCTCAATTTTCTCCACAGTTTCTTGGGAACCAAACAGGATATTGAGGAATGTAGAAGAAAACGGACCTCGGAGCGACCTGAAGAGACAGCGACGTGGAGGAGGGAGCGGGCGTCCTCGTTCCTGAGAGAGAAAGCTTCGGCGAGCTGTTTCACTGAGAGAGATTTGAACGCCAAAGAATCACCGGTCTCGGCGGCTTTGAAGAGATCTTCGGCTTTGAGTTTCAGCTCGGACGGCGTTGGATGATCGATCTCCATGTCCACGGCGAACTATACGGAGCAAGATGGGAGTTAGGGCTTTGGGGATTTTACAGCCCTTCCCGGTGATAGTGTGACGGTCGTTCCAGTCAGCGGTGGCATGGACATAGTGATGTACCAATTTGTCATATATGTTAAACCGAACAAAAAACCAAATCAAACCGAATAGTAATTTCCCTATAATTCTTTATTTTGACAAAAAATCAAACCGACTCAGTTCCAACTTAAACAAGATAAATAAAAATAAAAACAATATATCAATAAAAAAATCTATTATCAGGACTCCAAAATCTTATCGTGCACTTATAAATCAATTTTTATTCTAAATAAAAAAATTTAAAATGCACAATAAGATTTTTAGAGTGTCAGCATTATATAAACCACATTAGATTGTACCTACAAAAAAAAAACAATATTAGACAAAAGTTATGAGTTTGAATGTCTCACTTTTGTATCAAAATAGAAAAAACAACCAAACTAAATGGATCACGAACTTGAGCTGTATCATTGAATTGAATATCTTGAACTCAGATACGAAGTGCATGTAAGCAAGGTGCCCCAAAGGGGTGACCTGAGAACACAAAATGCGTAAGCAGTGCTTACAATGTTTGTCGCGGGCAACACCATTTGTGTTCTCAGTTTCACACCTTTGGGGTGACCATTTGCTATATGAACGGGGATCAATTTGCAATGTTGAAGACGAAGATCTAGCTATTTTTGTTATTTGCCAGGTTGCTGTCTAATTTATAAGGGTGCAGTGTGCAGAAATTAAGACCTTATGCAACACGATGTCGTCATTTTTTCGACATCAAAGGATGTTGTCATCTATAGATAGAAACACCATGCTCCTTTGCCCTTAATTGAATGGAAACTTGGAATGACAACATTCAAATTAATCTCGGCCGTCAAACCTCAATCAAAAGTTGACAGATTTGTTAATTGATACAATAAAATTGAAATCCTCTCAAATTTATTCGTTTTTGCTCAAATTTATTCGTTTTTGCAATTTCACGTCTCGAATCAATGACTTTTTCGTCATAAAAAAGCAACTCTCTGATTGCGCTAAAGCTCATTCTAAAATATAACGTTTCCTTATCTTAAAAAAATAATCATAAGCTTTCTTTGGTCCCAAATCGAAGGCCCAGAAAACTAAAAATGCTAAAGCAGGAAGTAGCCTGGACATGGCAGGCATTGACGTATAAGCCAGAGAAGCCCAAGACATATCAAACTCTGAGCCCATTGCATACGTGGATCCTTCCCATTCCTTTCAAGCAGAAGCTTGGCACTTGGCAGTTTCAAAGTCAATTTGAAGAGGGAGCAAGCCGGACCACGGTGTCCTACCACGTGTCAACGTGAGATAGGGTTTAGGAGGGGACCAAAATGTTAGAAAGAGATCCTCTTCATATCTCTTCCATCAAAATCTGTAGATTAAGTGATCTGGATCCTTGAAATTTGATCCAACGATTAAAAACAAAAAATTATTTTAAAAATTATAATAATTTTAACCGTTAGATCAAATTTCACTAATTTATATCACTTGATCCGTGAGTTTTAGTGGATGAGATTCCGAAATGATCGCTTCCCCAAAATGTTGATACGAAACAGGATAAGATGAAACACGAATATGCCATAAAGATACCGAAATCTGAACGCGGTGACCAGCAACAGCCACCGCCACAAAAATTCTCGCCACAAGAATCCTGTGGTTATCATAACACAAACTGTATATCACGTGTTTTTTTTTTATATAAGTAGTGATTTATTTTACTTTTGTAAGTTATTAATTTTTTAACACGTTTGGTTATTTCATCCTTGACATAATAGCATACAGTACATTACCCCGTATTCTGATCATACTGAAAAATTTATCTTGCCGACAGATTTATTTCCTACCGACAATCATAAATATTTTTAATTATCCATCCATCCACCCATAAAGCAAGAGCAAGTCAGTATTAAATATCATCACCTTCAACCCGTTTTAGCAAACCCTCCTCGCAAGCAAAAGCACTTCTACCTTTCTTCACTCATTAATGGATCGGCTTTCAGCAGCTTTCTCTTCCGGAGGTTACGGGGACAAAGACCAGGAAGATCAATACGGTGGCGAGAGAAAATCCGCCACGGAGGGTCGCCACGGGTCTGGAGGTTACGGGGACAAAGACCAGGAAGATCAGTGCGGTGGCGAGAGAAAATCCGCCATGGAGGGTCGCCACGGGTCTGGAGGTTACGGGGACAAAGACCAGGAAGATCAGTACGGCGGCGAGAGAAAGTCCGCGACGGAGGGTCACCACGGGAAGCCGGGACGTGCGCCACCGACGACGAGTGAGCTGATGTCGAGTGCAAAGATTGTGGCGGAAGCAGCCAAATCTTCGATGAACAAAGGGGGCGACGAAAATATCGACAGAGCTAGGGTTTCCGAGGCTGCTAGTAACATCTTAAGCGGTGCCGCACACTATGGCAAGCTGGACGAGAAAGAAGGACTTGGGAGTTATGTTGGTAAGGCCGAGGATATGCTCCGCAAGTACGGCAGCGGCGGTGACGGTGAAAGCGGCGGAGGAGGAAGTCACAATTCTTCTGAGTCTTATAAGTCTAGTATGGGGAAGGACAGAAGAGACGATGATGAGAACTATCCGGTGAGCGGAGAGCATGAGACTAGGAAGAAACCTAGTAAAAAGGAGGATGAGGAGGAGGAGGAGGAGGGTGGATCAGGTGGGGTTGGGGATTACCTTAAGGTTGCTCAGGGTTTCTTGAAGAAGTGACGATCGTCATAATTAATCACTAATTAAGTAACGTTAATTATGCTTATTCCTCCGGAACTTTCACTTAATTTGGCTTAAGTTGTTTACTTAATTATGATGTTAGATAAAGTTTGTTTGAGTGTCTGCATTTGATTTGGGGTGTGCTGTTTCGGACCCAGTCCTTATATGTATCAGTGTATGTATTTCTTTCCCAAAAAATGAAGTAACTGTGTTTGTGTGTAGATCAGTAGATGTATCCAAATCTTAAGATCGGAGAGATCACATCGGTTACACGTTAGAGTCTCTACGCGACACTAATCGTCTAATGAAACAATGCAAGTTATGTTACATGCTAGAATCTCTGAACGGCATCGCATGCTTAATCAAATAATGCAAGTTATGCAACCATTGTAATACATTGTAGCATTAGAAATTCTCTGTATTCAAGTACCATCCGGCTCCATGCAAGTATAACTTCTAGTGCATAACATAAGTATAAATTTCAATGCGAGAGATCATACATGCTGATTTTCTGCTCTACCGAAGTTTCTCTCCAGAAATGAGTGGTCGACAGAGAAAACCCGTGTCCAACCAATATTTGGCTTTCTACAATCTATGATAATTGAAGAATAAGAAAAAATTGAACCATCAATTAACACCACCCAAAATAGAAGTTGCTTGTGAATAACCCGTTGAAAACGGGTACTTCACAAAGTCGAGAGAGGCATGCGTATATATTCACCAACAAGCTACTCAATTTCTCATCACTTACAGAAAAATTAACAAGGCACTGCTACATTTTCTTTGAATTAATCAATGGATCGGCATCATGGTTCTGAAGATTACGAGGAGGAAGAAGGAGCTCATAGTCAACCCCGCCAGAGAAATATGACCAAATCGAAACCTGCTGGAGGAGGGTACGTAGACGAAGATGACCAAAGCCAACATCGGCAGATAAAACCAGCTTACGGCGGTTCTCGCGAAGAGTATGGCGACGAAGAAGATCGAGACCGACATGGTGAGAGAAAATCCAGCAAACCGAAATCATCAGCAGCTTACAGTTCGAGGGAAGATGAAGATGAATATGACGAGAGAAAACCCAACAAGCCGAAAGCCTCTGCGAAAGCAGCTTACGGTTCGACGGAAGATGAAGATGAGTACGGCGAGAGAAACCACAATAAGCCGAAAGCCGCTGCGAAAGCGGCTTACGGTTCGAGGGAAGATGAAGATGAATACGGCGAGACAAAACCCAACAAGCCGAAAGCCGCTCCGAAAACTGCTTACGGTTCAACGGGAGATGAAGATGAATACGGCGAGACAAAACCCAACAAACCGAAAGCCGCTCCGAAAACTGCTTACGGTTCAACGGAAGATGAAGATGAATACGGCGAGCGAAAATCCAACAAGCCGAAAACCGTTGCGAAAGCGGCGGCGACTTACGGTTCGACGGAAGATGAAGATGAATACGACGAGAGAAAACCCAACAAGCCGAAAGCCTCTGCGAAAGCGGCTTACGGTTCGACGGAAGATGAAGATGAATACGGCGAGAGAAAACCCAACAAGCCGAAAGCGGCTGCGAAAGCGGCTTACGGTTCGAGGGAAGATGAAGATGAATACGGCGAGACAAAACCCAACAAGCCGAAAGCCGCTGCGAAAACGGCTTACGGTTCAACGGAAGATGAAGATGAATACGGCGAGCGAAAATCCAACAAGCCGAAAACCGTTGCGAAAGCGGCGGCGACTTACGGTTCGACGGAAGATGAAGATGAATACGGCGAGAGGAAACCCAACAAGCCGAAAGCTGCTGTGAAAGCGGCTTACGGTTCAAGTGAAGAGTATGGGGGAGAAGATGATCAGGATGAATATGGCCAAAGAAAACCTGGCAAACCAAAGGCCGCTGCGAAACAAGCTTATGGTTCTGAGGGTTATGGAGATGAAGATGATCAGGAACATCGCGAAAAAAAACCTAGCTCGGGTTCTGCCGGGAAAGCAGCCAAAGGCGCGAAACCTGAAAAAGATGGGGATGTGGAGGATGATCAATACCTCGAGAAAAAAGCTGTTGCTGCTAAACCATCAAAGTCAACTTATGGGGATGAAAAGGATGAGCAGAGTGAACATCGTGAGCGGAAAGTGGGCACTGACGGGAAACATGTTGGTGGTGTGGGGGCGGAGAAAGCGAAAGCGGGAGGAGCGAAGGAGAAAGGTGAAAAGCCATCAATGGGGGAGGTGATGTCGAGTGCGAAGATTGTGGCGGGCGCTAATAAAGGGGACAAGTTCGACAAAGCTGAGGTTTGCAAGGCTGCCAGTACCATTCTAGGTGCTGCCTCTGCGTACGGCGGTTTCGACGACAAAGAAGGCATCGGGAGTTACCTCAGCAAGGCAGAGGATATGCTTCGCAAGTATGGTGGCGGCGGCCAAGAAGGTGAGGGAGGTGGCCCCAAAACTTCTGTTTCTCATTCTTCAGCTTCTGAGGAGAAGAAGAAGAAAAGTAATGATTCAAATGAGAGCGGTGGGGGCCCGAAGAAGCCCACTAAAAAGGATGACGGTGAAGAGGATGGTGGTGGTGGAGTTGGGGGCTATCTGAAGATGGCTCAGGGTTTCTGGAAGGGCTAATCTGATGATTATCATTAATCACTAATTACGTGAAGTTAATTAAGCTCACTTCGAGAAACTTACACACACTGAGATACCACTAAAGTGACAATGCAAGTCAATCATGCAGTGCATACTTGTCACAAAGTATAGTATGATTCGATTGATGTATCGCCACGAGCAATATTCTCGTTGCATGGAAGTTCTTTCGTCTTCTTGGGTTGATGATCATAGTTTGTTTCTGATTTTCTGTATTCTATTTTGGGCTACTTTGGGCCTTCTTTTTGTTTTCCGGCTTGTTTTGGGCTAGAATGGACTTATGGTCCTGGGCCTCCCTTCCTCTGTGTGGAGCCCTCTGTATTTCAATATGTATTTTTGTATTTCTTGCTAAATAAGTAAAGTGGTGTTTGCATAAATTAATTTTTGTAATTTGAAATACTTATCTTTGTTGTGTAAATATATTAAATATCCCTTAAATATTTCATAGATCTCATTTCTAAATTTGTTAAATAATCCAATTATTATCTTATTAATATTTTTTTCTATAATATTAGAAGAGGCCCATAGTTAATCCTTCCTCATAAGATAAAAATATTTTGCTATATTAACAAACATGTTTATTTACTTGGAATTGTTACTATTTCTTAAATTTTATGAGTTAGGTAATACGTGCATAATATAATATAATAAATTTTACATTGTAATTCGTAATCAGATACCTAAAAGAAATTAAATTGATTAACAAGAACCAACTAATATACACATTTGTTTTATCGACAATACATAACTTATTCGATTCAATAACTTCCCTCGTTCCAAGTCAATAAAATCAATGTCCAATGCCTAATTGGTGTCTCTAAACATAATCTAATCAGATTTAGGTGATAGTTAGACACATCAAACCAACCCATCTATACTTATATCAGGTCTGCTCAACAAAACATTGATTTTTCTTGGGAACACACACCAAATAGCATTGAATAATTATTATTTTTGTTTAAAAATAAAAATATTTAATCTATTTTTTCACTAAAAAATATTTAATTTGTTATTCTCCTATTGGCCAACGGCCACTCTGTTTGCGCTTTTGTTTTCCAATAAGGACATCAAGGTCATCGGATCAAATGATCCGGCCTTTGAAATTTCATCAAACGATCTATTTGTTTTGATAATTTAAAAATTATAATAATTTTTTATCGTTGAATGAAATTTTAAAGGTCCGGATCATTTAATCTGGTGACCTTGATGAAAGAGATTCGGATAAGATCTCTTTTCACCCAACAAAAGAGCTAACCAGAATCCTTGTGACACGGGCTTCGCCACCTGGCACCTACCCGCATTTTTAACACCGTTACATTCTCCACGGCATCTTTGCCATTTTTTAACACGCGAGGCAGCTACGACGATCGGAGATACAGAGGAACCGAGCTGCTCGCTTGTTCATCATCTGCCGCTTTCTTTCCAAATCCCCTTGGAATTTCAGTCAATCTCGTTAAAAGGTGAGATTTTGACCTCCAAATCGTCCTTTTATGTCTTAATTTTTATTTTATTTTATCATCGATTCGAATCTACGTAAAAATTTGCCGCATTGAGGTGTTGAATTGCAATGATTGTTTGTTCGGTTGATTGTAAAAGCGTGTTAATTTCGCTTGTCAACGGTGTCACCGTTCAAATTCCTTGCGACCCAAATCATATTTTGCTTAATTGTTTGTTGGGTAGTTCTATCCTAGCGCTTTGGTTTCTCCATCAGAATTCAACTGTGACGTCTTAATTGGGGTTTTTGGGTAATTTTTGGTAAACTTATGCTGTATTGTGCAGAAATTAAGAATTATAATGTTAAGCTTAGAGAATGGTAGAGGATTTCATGTTCCCCAGTATATGGAAAGTGATTAAACAAATTATAAGGTGTCCAGTTGAACTGGTGTATTAAGGACTCTACTGTGAAAAGGCTATTGTGAAAGAATTGCGGTGTCTCGATTCGGACATATTTTTCGTCATTAAGGCATTTTGGTGTTGGATTGGTCTATTGTTTTGGGGATTCCAATGCATGCTTGCTGTAATTCATACTATGTTTGTTGAATAAATTACTTATTCACATTGCAAAAGGATAATCAAATTTGTGGAAATACAAACTATATTTCTTTTATGTTGTCGTTTATCCTAGAATTTCTCTATAAACTAGCTTGTTGTTGACAGGACTTAAAGGATTTTTGAACATTCATGTTTCTTGGCCGAATGCTGTTGCATGTTCTTTAGGGTTTTATCATTTAACCCCTTCGTTTGTATCGGCCTGATTTGTTTGTTAGGATGTGGGGTTTTGCTTCAAATGCCATCACAAGCATTGGACTAAAAAGAAGCTCATCAGAGCCAAGTCGGGTATGCTTGGACTCCTCGGATGATGAAGTCTGCTCGAATTCAAGCCGAGAGGAAGGGTTAGAATGCCCTATATGCCTGGAATCTTTCAACATTGTCGAGAATGTGCCCCATGTCTTATGGTGCGGCCATACCCTGTGCAGAAACTGTGTCTTGGGGCTTCAATGGGCCACTGTAAAGTTTTCCTCTCAAAAGTTTAAGATACCATTCTTCATTTCTTGCCCTTGGTGCTACCTGTTGTCTTTGCGGCTGATTTATAAGGGTAATCTAAAGTTTCCTCGCAAGAATTTCTTCCTTCTGTGGATGGTTGAGAGCTTTAATGGTGATAGGGTAAAGTTTGTTCCTGCAATCAGTGGGGAAAACCAACAAATTGGTTCTCCAAGAGCAAGTTTCGCTATAGGAAATCAAGCTGGCAATGGTAACCTGAGGAGGAACCATTCTAGTTGTCCTTCACTATCAAGGTATAACCGTGATGATAGAGGTGGCCGTGTGGAGCGGCATCTATTCTCCCTGCACAAGTCTTTGGATTGCTTCATTCACATTACATCCAAGTTCCCATTAGTCATATTGTTTCTCGTGATTGCATTTTTTGCAATACCTGGCAGTGCTATAGTTTTGGCAATCTACTTGTTACTCACAGTGGTTTTTGCAATCCCATCGTTCTTGTTATTGTACTTTGCATACCCTATTTTGGAGAGGCTGGTAAAGGAGATAACCTCGTGACCCATCAACCTGAGTCTTTGCTATCCACATCCTTCTCAGATCTCGTGCGTATGATGGTGGAAGTTTCAAGAGTTTAGTGGGAAGTTTCTTGGGTAATTTGTAAGTTCCGACTTCTGTGTCTAAACGATTGTCACTACTGTAACTATCATTATTTGTTTGAAGTAGCTGATTTCCTTCTGCCCAAGCTTGAGTACTCTCAAGATTATTGCTCTCAAGTGATTTTAGATGAGGTATTGAAATATATCGTAGTGGATTACATACATGCTTATTTGAAATCCGGAGAAAATGAATATACGACTTTGAAGTGTAATTTACCATATGAAATGAGTGTCTATTAGTTTGTTTGTAATTGGGAAATTCCTTTGTGTTTTATTTATACTCGTTTTAAATATGGGGCAGCTAACCATGCGGTGGAACTGCCATCTTATTGTGATTGACTCTCTGTGAAAATACAGTATCTTGATAAAAATATTTACACTCGAAAGTAGGTGAGTAATTGGTCTAATTAGAAGCAGAAGCATGTTGTAGGAGCTTTCCCTGTTCTTCTCATTTCATTTGCCTTTTGTTTCACCTTCAAGACACCATTTCTGTGCCTCTCTGCTGCCTGTGCCCTAGCTCCGTCTGCAATCTCTTTGATATATTCCATCTCTGCGCTGAACTTTCGTAGTGCTTTTTCTCTTTTTTCCGCTACTTCACCTTGCTGTTCCAATAAGTGGATTATTAGTTCATGATCTTAATTTTGATTGTATATGAAAATAAAATGAAGCAAAACCTTTATTTTATCGAGACGTTTTCTGCATTTCGTCTTCTTGTTGTTCTCCCATGCAAGTATTGTGGCCTTTTGCTTCTCATACCTGACAATAATGGCTGTCAGAACCTGAATGTGACAGAATGTTTGAACTATAAATTATGCAAAATGATCGCCGATGATGAGTAGCTACCTTGCTTTGAGTCTAGCAATCTTGGTTTCTTCCCAAATATCTGCTTGTGTTTTCCTTGTTCCAGGTCCTGTTGAAGTCGGCTTCTTGGTTTCATCCCAAGGACTTTCGGGTTTCGTAGTGGCAGACAAATTGGGTTTTGCTGCTGCAGTTTCAGGTTTTACACCGCCAGCGCTGCTCGACCGTTTATCATCAAAAGTTGGAGTTCTCTTGATAGATGGGGGTCGAAGGGGGGGTGGTGGTGGTGGTGGCGGCGGTGGTGCAGTTTGACGTTTTATACTGTCAGGAAGGACAGCCTTTTCTGGGCTCTTCCCGGTTGTGGCAATGCTTATTGGCACCTTACCATCTGGATCTTCTTGTGCTGGAGTACTTTTCCTCGAACCTGCACCTAATACAGAAAATCTTGGTTCTGGCTTAAAAACCGGAAAATCCGTGTTTAGGGTCGTTAACAATGTTATTAGATATTTTTACCTGAGAATATTTTGGAAAATATTCCAGGTTCCGGCTTTGAAATTGCCGTTTCTTCCTTTCCGCTCGTGATCCTCACCAAATTTGGTTTACGCTCATTGCCCGCCATTTCCTTGTCAGAGATGGCCGAATCTTCAATTGATTTAATGGCAAATGCAGCAGCTGCCACCGCAGTTGCATGCTCCATTGCTCTGTTAGCATCGTAGTCTTGACTCATTTTTGCTTAGAGCTGTCTCTGGAACCAGTTCGGGTTTCCTTTTCTCTGCAAGAAATAGCTTAAACCACTGAGAAAAGTTGTTTCCAAACCAGAAAATTTGTATATTATGCAGAGACAAAGAGCCATGTATTACCTTTGAAAAACTAAGTTTTCTGCAGGTCGTAGACGCTGCCGGACTCTTCAGTCTTCTCGTCCTGCGCCGGAGAATCTCATCCTAACAATAGTGATTAGTCAAATATAAACGGATATGATCCTCTAGTTACAAATAGTAATCATAATTACATAATCGAAACAAAGTCGAATATTTTCGGGGTTAAGGGGCGAATTACCTTATTTGGTTGATCAATCTATTCTTTCCGAAGAAACGAGCCCCGAATTTTCTTCTCTGTGAATTAAGGATTTGTTGCTCATAGTTTGGTGTTTATTTGAAGGATATTTGAAGGATAAGATTAGAGAAGAGATGCTTGTTTAAAGCTAGTTCATAGGCTAGTTTTAGGGCAATGCTGGCAAGAAAGCTTGAGGTTACTTTGCACACAAGTTAGGGTTTCCTGGTGAAAGGAAAGTATTTCTTCTTTGCAATGATTCTTAGCTTTCGGAATTCTTAAGAAAAATTCCATGAAAAGTTTATGCTACTCTTCTGTTTCGAAAAAAGTACTTAAAATTACATAAAAAAGGCACTGCAAATTAACCCTACCAATACTTGAAACCTTTAATCTAAAGAACAAAGAAAGGTGGAACCAAAAAAAAAACGTAAGAAAGATATTCGATTAAGCGCAGGCCGGGGCATGGAAATTTTTTATAGATACAAAGACGATTGAATCCGCTGCGACGCTGATCGTCGAAGTGGGATCAACGAGTTTTGGTTTCATTTCCGGAATGTCTGATGAGTTTGTGAGTTTCAAAGGAGTTCCATTGAGCAATACCACATCACTTTGAATGTTGCCACCTTCTGGTGTCAAATGATACTCTTCTCTTTCTGGTTCATCATTAGCACCGTACTTTCTGGTCGTAAGTATTTGCCTCGGGTACAAATTATAGTCGGGGAGAACAGCGACGTCGAAGGTGGTGGCGTTGGACATGTTGATCAGAAGTAGTGTGACCCCTTTCTGTAACAAAATATGTTAAGATGCTATAAATGTTAATAAAGGAAAGGCTAATTAGGGTTTGAGGTACCTGATTCTTTGTGCAATGGCAATATGCTCTCAGATAAGGAGAGCCAAAGTTCATGGTGGAAAGAACCCTAGTTCCCATTAGTCTATGCCACAAGAGTGCACTGGTAGGGGAAAAAGCAACAGAAAAGATTTAGAAAAGTTTAAGAACTTCGGTACTGTTTGATAACCATTTCAAATTTAAGGCGGAGATTCGAACCCGTAATAATCGGGATTAGGGATGAATGTGGTGGTGTTAAGCAGAGCATAGTTCCCTCCAATCAAGGCTTGTCGGCAGTAAACCTTGTGGTTGTAGGTTGATGTCATGCCAAGCTGGTCCAAATACCTATTTCAATCAAAGTCACATTTGTTTATATTTGCTCATAGATTTTCGGGTATCGATTTTCACACTCTCGTTTTTTCTGTCACTCCATAATGTACACGGAGAGAACAAAGGAGTGCAAAATTCAGTTCCCAAATTGTAAAGGCAAAAAATGTGTTTACCAAAAGCCATCAGCAAAAGTATGTGAGACATCTTTGCCACCACTGTTATAAGCTCCACCTGCTTCCCCAACCCAAGCTTCTGACCATGGCCCAAACTGCTGGATTGTATTCGACAAGTCGTACAATGTTTGAGCTATCTCTGACAGAAAAAATGGATCTTGAACCTTGTCGATAAGCTCGGGATGAACACCAGAAAAAAATCATAAGATTTTCCCCAAATCAGACATTTTTCTGCCAATGATCAATACTTATTGATGATTAGTAATATTTGTATTACCTGCACCAAGATTGTATAAGTGATGAGTTACACCATCAACAACGCCTGGCCCCGTGGCCTGCAGGAAGTTTTCGAACCATTTCTTGTCGTAAAATCCAGCAGGGCCTAAAACCTTAGGTCGATTTGAGGCATCGGGGTACAATTCTGTCACAACTTCTTTGAGCTTTGTCATGTCTTTTGCATATTGCTCACTTTCTATTCTTGCAGATACTCCACTCCCGGATAGCTCATTCCCTGTTGGCATTTGCAGTCAAATGAGCAACAGTTACATATATCGAACTCACAATCCTTCTACAGAGCGATTAACTACTAAAAAAAGTCCGCATTTAAAAAAACAAAACAAAAGTCATTTACCAAGCTCATATGAATCAATCTCGTATCCCTTTGCAATTGTGTACTCCATCAGATCACGAGAATTTTGAGCGTTCCAATCACCGATTCGAAGACTTTTGTCTTCAGAAGACACTTTCTTCCCATGCAAGGCATTCAAACCAAATGTGACCTTAGCTCTGCAAAAAATGAACGTGTGAGTGTTTAGTAAATCAAAGTGCCATCTTATTTCCTGCATTGCTTTTTATGGAGAAATTATCATACTTTGTTTTGTTAAAGAACTGATTGAGCTCATCCCATCTTTTATGGTGAAGGCAAGCTTCGCTGAATCCGAACAATCCCGAATCATTTTTCTTGAAACGGTTGCATGATTTGTCTCCAAACCCTACACCATAACTGACCTGATCTTGCAATGAGCCTCCAACTCTGATTCTCATTGGATTGAAAGCTGAAAATTTTCCAACAAATTCAGTCCTTCATCAACACATCGTTTTCTAATTTTAAAACGAAAGTAGTGAAGCCAATCACGGATTAGGCGAGCAGAACTAAACGTCAGAGTTTCGATAATCGAATTCTCAAAGTGTTACTCGGAAACACTTACCCTTGACAGCATTGTGCAAGATCTTGTTACTCAAATCCTGCAAATACGAGCAAAGTTTAAGATCCTCACCAATTTGTTTATTTAGAAGATGAAAGAGTACGACTAGAAAACATAACGAGAAAAGACTCGTTAACAATAAGAAGTTAAGCAGTGTTCAATGGAGAAAAAGACGCTACAAACCAGATTAAAAATGCCAGCCTTCCCCCATGGGCACTGATCGTAGTCACATTTGTCAGCAGGCCACCAGTCCAAAGTTGCACAGATGAAGTTATCATCTGTGGTGGCTATGGAAGTCACTCCCTTGACTCTCACTTCAACGTACTCAGCTAAACCTAATGAAAACCACGATACACAAATAAAAAATATGGCTCCTCCTCTAACCTCCATTTTTTCACACACAGTAAATCTGGGAGAAAAATCACGTTTATATATAGTGCTTTTTTTGAAATACATAATATGGATAAGGATAAATCTAGGTAGGGTAATTTGTTTGTTTGTCAAAATCCAGTGTTTGTTCATGTACGTATCACTCAGAGTTTAAAGATTTTGAAAATCTCTTTTATATATCCTACTATATATCTTATCCAATTTGAGATAATTTTGTTGTAGTAATCATTAAGTTTAACCGAAATAGTGGGTTTTTGTGTGATATCGCAATTTAGGTTTAATAATTTTACTCGCATTGTCACAAATTGATATTTTACATGATTGATAAAAATATATGAAAATCTTTTGGAGCAAAAGATAATTTGAAATTTTTTGGAGCGACAAGTAACGAAGATGCTCCCATTAAATTAGCACGTCCCACATTTATTGTACTACCCTCTTGATCATGAGCCTGTGACTACAATCCCACCAAGCTTAACAAGGGGAAAGGTCAAATGTATTAGGGGTAATGCTATTCTTACCACATTAATATACCACATTAGTGTACCACATTATGTGGCATTTGATGTGGCTGTCCACATCATCTAAATGAAGGGTAATGCTATTCTTACCACATTAATATACCACATTAGTGTACCACATTATGTGGCATCTGATGTGGCTGTCCACATCATCTAAATGAATCATAATTTAATTTAAATTAAAAACCATTTAATAAACCAATAATAAATAAATAAATCTGGAATTAAATGGTGTTTGTGTCATACGAGGAGTCTTCTCCTTCCTTCCTTCCCCGTTGCTTCTTCTCCCATTTCTTCTTCCACGCCATTTTTTTGTTTCAACTAAATCTCATACGATAAAGATTCATCGACGCTCCCCTATTTGGATTATTGGTAAGCATTTACCATTATTTTTCAATGAGTTGCATGAAACATTTTATAGGCAGACATGTCTTCATCATACGTTTCACTTAACTGATCATTATGCAGTGGGTTCTAGAGGGTCCTATTGCATGATTAAGAATTAGTTAGTCTTAAATTTCCACAATTTATGGTTTGATTTAGAAGATTATCATCACTGCACCAAAAACCGAACCTACCGAATCTTCGTAGGAGATTATACAGTGTGCCCAGATGACCTGTTTGCTGCTGTTGTCAACTTCTTATATATTAATTGATATCTTCACCAGCAACACTATGCTACTTTGCTCAAATGCTTGCCTGCAAATGTGAAAAAATCTGGGCTGAAACAAAAAAATGGCGTGGAAGAAGAAACGGGAGAAGAAGCAATGGGGAATGAAGGAAGGAAGGAAGGAAGGAGAAGACTCCTCGTATGCCACAAACACCATTTAATTCTAGATTTATTTATTTATTATTGGTTTATTAAATGGTTTTTAATTTAATTTAAATTATAATTAATTTAGATGATGTGGACAGCCACATCAGATGCCACATAATGTGGTACACTAATGTGGTATATTAATGTGGTAAGAATAGCATTACCCAATGTATTAAAGATATCATTAATAACCAAATCTTATCTTTATGCTTTCCTAATTGAAGACCAACCCAATCAAATAAGGAATCACAATATAATTCAATAATATCTCTGGGACAGTTCTTTCATACTTTATCCAATGGATGACATATCTTGGCCAACTGAATTTCGACACACCCTACACATATGGCCAACCCTAGTTCTACAAATACCTCATTTTCCATCAATTAATATTAAGTTTTGGGCTATCCCGTTAAGCCATAAACTCTTTTTATTTTCAAATAAACTGACTTAGATATTGAAGATTCATTAACTAAATTTCCCACTGAAAATTGAACGAATTTTTGCTACCACAAATGTGGTAAAAAACAAAGAGAGCCCAATGCAGAAACAAGACAAAACAGAGCTCCAAAGGTCCAACACAAAAAGGAAAAGAAAAAAAAAACTTTAACGAAAAGTTTTCGGTATTGTTCATTTTAACGAAAAATTATATTTTTATACTAAAAATTTAATTATGGTACTATTTACTTTACCCTTTATTTTGTATTTATCATTAAAAAAAATTAAAACATTTTTCATTAGTTTTATTTAAAAATCAACTTACATGCTTTCATTGAGAGTTGAACTCAAGACCTCCCGCTTACTAAACGGGTGCTCTAACCAACTGAGCTATGAAAGCATTCTTGGGGATGCCTTCATCAGATTCCTTTTTATCTGGTGAAACCAATAGAATGGCCTTTTGCTTGAACAAAGGATTGTAAACCAACATTTCGATCATTTGAGCATGAAGGTGAGTGCCCATATGAGCCCACAATCTGCTTCTACAACACAATGTTAAAAGCTTCACTGCTCAGAAACGAACTCATCCTGACCGTCGGTGTATTTACCGAGATGTTGCAGAATGGGATGTGCCCAGGTAATTATACCCTCCCTTATTTGCTAAAGGCTTGTGCGAGGATGCAAAGGTGTCGTCTTGGGGAATTGGTTCATGGGTTCTGTTTGAAATTGGGTTTTGTTTCTGATATCTTTGTGGGTAACTCTCTGATTGTTATGTACTGTGCGTTTGATGACGTGAAGAGAGCACTGTACGTGTTCGATGAAATGCCTAGCCTAAGTGCAGTTTCAAGGATGGTCATGATTTCTGGGTTTGCAAAGGTGGGCAATCTTGACATGGCGAGATTGCTCTTTGATGAAGCTCCGGTGAGGGACAGGGGGATATGAGGTGCCATGATTTCTGGGTATGTGCGGAATGGTTGTTTCAGGGAAGGTCTTTATTTGTTCCAGTTGATGCAGCTTAGGATACAGAACCCGATGAGGCGATTTTTGTTAGTGTTTTATGTGCTTGTGCTCATTTGGGAGCTCTGGATATTGGGATTTGGATTCACTCGTATTTGAATCGGCTTCGGTTGCGGTTGAGTGTTCGATTGACCACTGGTCTGATTGACATGTATGCCAAATGTAGGAGATTGGAGTTAGCTAGAGGATTGCTTGCTGAAATGCTGCAAAGAGACACGGTTTGCTGGAATGCAATGCATGGAGATGATGTTACTTTCATTGCTGTGCTTACTGCTTGCAGTTATTCCGGCATGGCAGACGAAGGAATGAAGGTGTTTGATAAAATGCGTAGGATATACACGTTGAGCCAAAAAGCAAACACTACGGATGTATCGTTGACCTTCTAAGCCGTGCCGGGTTCTTCGAAGAAGCAAAGGAGATAATTCAAAGTATACCCAGTTGCCAGTTCAAGTAAATCATCTGAATAAGCAGTAGCTTGGAGAGCATTTCACCTCGAATGTCACATCGGCGTCTATGTCTTGCTGTCGAATTTGCATGCAGCTTCAGGGAAGCATGGTGATGCCAGATGAATGAGGAATTTGATGAGAAACGGAGGCGTACACAAGGCTCCAGGTTGCAGCTCGGTCAAGGTCAATAGTTTTGGAGACCATAAAAATGCAGTTAGAATTTTCAGGCAGAGATCGATGTTCGTTTCAAGTTGACAAGACTTGAATCAAAGCTTTAATGTTCGATTGCCGAATTCCTAACCTTCAACACATAAAAAAGAACTAAACCAAACTTGCAGTATCGAGATTTTTCTTACCAAAAATTAAACGGTTGATTTCTATACTATGATTTAAAACATGCATTAGTTCTGCAACTAATGTGAAGTCCTGCTACCATTTACCATATAAGCAAACTCCTTGCGGAGTTGAGCAACATATGAACTCATCAGTGACAGCAAAACTTCATCGATATATATTTCCATTTCGTTCCGAGACTATAAGAACCCTTGTTTGGGCAGTAAAAAACACAACCAGTTAACAAGTAAATAGTAGCTTGATGCCTTGACTAGACGAGGAATTCTGTGTCTGTGAGCTCGAGAACTTTATGTATGCCTATCGGTTTTACACCTGGTCGGAATGCATTCCCTTCAATATACCTGTGAGAAAACAATTGACCAAAGTATCAAACACATTACTGCATAGTTTTAGTAATTCGAAGTTTCCAAGTTCCGGAGACAAAGAAACTCACATGTCTTTCAAGAACGGGTGTTTGTAGAAGGCATCAGGAATTCTTCCTGAAAACTGGTTGTGATCCAAGTACCTAAATTTGATAAAAACCCGAACAAGAAATGAATGAAACTGCACATTAATTTTCCTTAATCTAACGCAGTAATGGGTAGATCCTTCATCAAGGCTGTTTACTTTCCAGAGTACAAGTTGACCGTATAAAAAAGGAGGCAAGCCCTTGATCTTTGATGAAACTACCCCCTAAACACCAATTAGTCGAGCACAAACGCAAAGAGTAGAAATGTCGTAAAAAGGAACTCACAAGTACGTCAGTCTCGGAATATGGGAAAGTCCTAATGGAACTATCCCAGACATCTTGTTGTAAGATAGGTACCTGTAACCAACAAAATAATCAACCCAACAAGCTTCGTGTCAGGTCAAAATGTAATGAAACCAATCCAAATTGATGATGCTCAACTCAAGATTAGAAACAGCCCATCGGGACAGGAACGGAGAGAGGGGAGTAAGACATACAGTATTTCCAGTTTGGACAAGCTTGCAAGCTGTGCTGGAATTCCTCCGGTAAGATAGTTGTTGTTTAGGTAACTAGATACCCCAGTTGCAAAAAGATTCACTTCAGTTACCATGTCATTTATACTATTGAGGTAGAGATAATTATGTATTCGCCAACTTGGACTAACTTACAGGTTACGCAAAGCGGGAAAGCAGCCCTCAATACGTATGAGTTCCCTAATAGTACCCACCAAATGATTGTTACCAACGTCCCTATGAACAAACAGCACCACAAGGGCACACATTAGTAACCAGATACAGATGCATTATCTTGACAAAGTGTGAGGAGTAGTTATGTAAACATACAAGTGCCGAAGATTTTGCAGAGTTCCTAGTTCTGGAGGAATCCGCCCAACAAGGCGATTTTCTTGCAGATACAGATAGCGAAGCTCAGGAAGATTAGCAAGCTCCTTCGGGATTTCT